TACATGTTTATTTTCTTGATATGTTTTTCAGGAACTTATAAACTTCGACCATTCTGTGTAATCATGGCCAGTTCTCCAGCACCATTTTCACATATTGGCAAAAAGGCCAGAGGTAAATACCTTAACTATTTCCCTTGTGCATCTAATAGGCTCATGTCAACTAGTTTCCTTTTCTTTTATTGATCTTTTTAAGGGGTGGTTTTGTTCATACTATCAAAAAGAAGTTTTAGTGGTTCTTAATATCTCACACGACTCTGAAATCGTTATTTCTATAGTAACGAGAAATTACGAAATCTGTCATCTTGATAACTGCTTAAATGTCTATAATTGGAATGCTAAATGTGCAAGGATCTGTATATRATTAACATTTTCTTTATTGCCCCAGAATAGGCTAACCATATAGTATGCGGTTTAGAGTGTCGAGAATTTGTATTACACCTTTTCAATGATACCACTGATTGAAATGTATATATGGATTTTAGATGTTTCCCTATAAATTGTCTGCAATTTGGAGTTATAAATTACTAATAAGACCTTTGGTGCATATATGGAAAGTGGGGTGATACTTTAGTTCGACACTATTTATGGGTAGGGTGGATAATTGAAAAAATCATGCATGGGAAGATATTTGCATTGTTCTATTACTTACTGGTAGCAGTGTTTTACTACATTGTATAAAAATACATCTAAAACAATCGTACCTTGTGCATTGTTTTATGACCATGTCTGTAAGACTGTAACTTCCCTTCTAAAGTGTTTTGCATCCTCTGGATTGGAATAGGCAAATAGCTATCATGTGTTCTGAAACAACACACATCAGGTTCAAATTTTTCGTGTTTATTTTCCTCTCTAGTCAAGAGGATGTATTGTTCTTTCGACCATAATTGTATGCTGTATTTCTATCTGATGTGAAACATGGATCCTTGTGTGATGGTCTGGCTTGGTATTGTTGTATTGTAAATTCCAAAGCTTATTTTCATTTTGATGGTGACCTTGCAGACCTCTTGACTAAAGATTACAACTACGATCACAAGTTTACTCTGTCACTACCAAGCTCCAATGGAATGGTATTATTGGTTCTAATATATTAGGCTCCTTCTCTTGATTAATTGTCTTCCCTTTTCTTTTTTTTGTGTGATATTTGTGTGTCCGGGTCGTGCACCTTGACTAATCACGGGCCAACCGTCTGACCCTACTATATTTGATTGACAAGGAATTATCTTCCCTATTTGTACCCATATTTTCCTAACTCTTTCAATGATGTTGATGTTCTTTAGCTTATATTTTTTGAGCCGAAGTATCTTAAGCCCCAAATCACTAGTGTATGAGTGTAAGCGTGTGAGAAGTGAGGAGGCTGTCTGAAAGGTGAAATTACGTAATAGGAGTGGGGCCAAGTGCTGAAGGGGTATTAGGGGGTTAGTTGCTTTCTGATGTTATATTCTGAGTATTTTGCTTGTGTTTTCTCTGCTGAGAATTGGGAGAGAAGGGGAGCTCTCTAATTTGCCTTGGCTTCTGTTATTGATAAAAATGATTGAGGCTGAGGCCTATCAACTTTATTTTGTATTTAACCATGTCTTTTTTTTTGTGTTTGTGACTGATGAGTTTATTGATTTCACCTATTCATCTGAAATGATAGATATTAGGTTAACTGAGCAAACTGGAAAAATCTCTTTAAATTCTTCTGTTTGTTTCGTGTGTACTTGTATGTTTAGAACTAAATCAGAAAACATTCCTTAATAGGCCTCTGCCTATCTGTTACTCATTCTGCTACACTTAGTTTTCATCGGTTTCAATTTAACCTTGTTCATTGATCTTTTAACACTCATAATGTTCTACATGCCGTCTTCTTTTCATTAGTATTATAACATCCTTTATCTGAAAGTGCCGAGGAATATAGTATAAAGATAATGTATGAGCACACATGTTTGTTTATGACAACAAAATTTGACTTTATTTTTAATGCAATTTTATCTTTTTTAACTTACTTTTCGGGGCTCTTTGGTCTAATCTTCCGAAATGAAATTACATATTGCAGGGACTAACTGCTACAGGTTTGAAGCGGGATCAAGTTTTTATTGGTGATATCAGTACCCTGTACAAGAGTGGAAGGACAACAGTGGATGTGAAAGTTGATACTTATTCAAATGTAATGAAAAACGTCTTGTCCTGATGTCTAGTTTTTATAAGCTTTATAAAATACTCATGTAGGCTTATGCTACTGTTTTAGGAGGCATTGCTAAATTTCCTAGATATACTTTTGAAGAAAAATGGTCGTTATGTTCTAAGCCAAAAGGCAATAACATTCTACTGAATTTAACATTTTTCAGGTTTCTACCAAAGTGACCGTGAGTGATATCTTGCCCACTACCAAGGCCACGTTTAGCTTCAGAATACCTGACCACAAGTCTGGCAAGGTTTGTGAAATGTGTGGATAATTTTTTAGTGAGAAAGAAAACATCACTGCAAGTTCAAGTTTGAGAAGTTTTAAAATTAGTTGGATAATCTTCCGTAATGTGAATGAAAAAAATTAACAGTATCTTCCATAACGCATTATATGAACTCCTAGACTAAAAGTAACAATAGGTTATACTTTGACCTATGTTTTTTTTTCTGACCTCTTAACCTACGAAAAAAAGCTAAGTGCGTTTCCAATAAAATCTTGTCTTTTGTTTACATTTTCAGAAGAAAAACTCGTAGTCTTGTTTGAAAATGATTTTTCAGTTCCATAATTAGAAACCCATTGTGATTATAGAACTGTATTTCTGTTTTTACATCTCCATGTTTACAATTGGTTTTAGATTATAATACCAATCATTCCATGCCGTCCTGCTGTAACAAGGTCCATATTGTTTATATAGAGCATGTGTCCTGAGTCCCTGCACTCACTGATCATTGAAATGCTGCATTTACCGTACCAGTCTTGCTAAAATTCAATTACTGTGATATGGTGTTATTGTTTTTTGCTTCTAAACGTGCTTGGATATTTTGGTAGAACTTGACATGACTATCATGGAATATATTTTTCTGAAATCAATGCTATAGGTTTATATGTCCTAAACCATATATAGTTTCGAATTATCATATCCTACTCGAGGTATTGCTTCCATGCCAACATGTTTGCAGCTTTTTTTATGTTAGATCTTGGAATTGTTGGAAGCATAATAGTGTCCTACATATGATATTTCCTTAGAATTCTCAGATTTAAAGACTGTAAACTTAGTAGTAGCAGGAATTTCATGCTAATGACTTTATGTATGGTACTGCATGCTGCAGCTGGATGTTCAGTACTTCCATCCTCATGCGGCCATTGATTCCAGTATTGGTCTCCACCCCAGTCCTCTTTTGGAATTTTCAGCTGCAATCGGTAGTAAGAATTTTAGTTTAGGTGGTGATGTGGGATTTGATACTACCTCTGCTTCATTCACAAAGTACAACGCTGGAGTCAGCTTGAATAAGCCAGACTTTTCTGCGGCTCTTATACTGTAAGTTATGCTTAATTACCAACTATGGCTCCTAGCATGTGAACAAACTAGTTAGTCCTTGGGAACTCAACTTTTGCAATTCTACTTCGAAATAACTGGTAATCTCTGGTGTGTGTTCTGACGTCCAAATGAGGTCAAAAATGAAATTGATATATTTGATTTCCCTATTTCTAACCTAGCTTATGCTATTGGAACTAATAGTGTTGATAATGTTAATACAGAACTGACAAGGGACAGGCTCTGAAGGCATCTTATGTTCATTCATTGGATCCACTTAATCAGACTATGGTAGCTGCCGAAATGACTCACAAGTTCTCCACCTTTGAAAACTCCTTTACCATTGGAAGTTCCCATGTTCTAGATCCAGTTACGCTTTTAAAAACACGGTTCTCCGACAAAGGAAAAGTTGCCATGCTTTACCAGCGAGAATGGAGGCCGAAATCTCTGGTAACTCTGTCTGCCGAGTACGACTCAAAAGCAGTTAACTCGTCTCCAAAACTAGGCCTTGGTATTGCTCTCAAGCCATGATATGAGGGAAGCAGTAAGATTATTTCGGTGATTGAATACCCATAACTTTGATGTCGTTATAATTTTCCCCAAAATATTCATTACGGAATTTCACAATTTGTGTTTGGAAGAGGAGGCATTCTTCCGTGTATTCGTGAGATGTTATTTCGAGGCATAAATAGGATTAGAGAAACCAATTTTGGAAAGGAATGGATATTGAGGGACCAACATTTTGCTTGCAAAGTCCCATTTTTTCGCCATTCACTTTGATTTATGTCGCATAAGTGCTAAAGAGACCGACGGACAGATCTCTCCAGCTTCAGGTTTCTTCAATATCATGAAATTTCATTCGGTTTTGTATTATTCTTACATTGTTCAAATTCCATTTTCTGATGTCGGGAATAATATGAACATTGAATGGGATCGCCCCCTCTTTCCTCTCTATGATTGTACTCTCCTCGACACCTAACCATGGATGTTTTTCTCTGTCTCCACCTTCATTCATTGACATTGCCAACTTTATACTGTGGTGGGAAAATTGGTTACAAGGGGAAATAGTACTTCACATTGTTCAATTATGGCTAAATTCGTTGATCAATGATAAAAGAAGACCATCCACCATATTTCATGGCTATGCAAAAATCTTTTTTTTTATTAGTTGCATCCAAGTTTTGGGGTTATTGATTTGAGAATATAACGTCATCATAAACATGGGATTTATCGGTAGGTCGGATTGGGGGATTTTGATTGGTTGGGTTAGCCAAGAAGGACCATCCACAACAGCTCTGCTCTGCTCTGTCCAGCCTGCTTGGCTTCTAAATAATAATTCATAAAACCATTATTCAAAAAGATTCTGTTGTTGTTATTTCAAAAAATCTTGAATCTCAAGTCTGGAGTGTTGAGCAGGCAGGCCCTGTACTGTATCCATTTGTTTGTTGTGGGTTTACGTGTGTGCATTTGAATTTTGAATTCCAACATTTTAGAGAGAGGTTGGTTTGACGTGGTGGGTAAGCTAAGGCTTACTTGCACACTTGACACTACTCTCTACTCAATACTCAATAGTGAATGTGTTTTAAATCCAAAAAGGGTTCCTCTGCTTCTGCTTCTGCTTCTGACCAATCCTCATTCATTTTCATTATCAAAAAACTGAAAACTGAGAGAAGACGAGAGAGAGGATTTGGGTCAGGGCTCCCAACCCAAATGAATGATTCGGATCTTTGCTTTGGACAGTGAGCTCTTTTGACACATCTGCCCTCTGAAACCTCTCTGCGCCTCAATAATATAATATTATCACCTTTTTTTTTTTAACACTACAAACAAAAGTTGACGAGAGAATAGAGATTGATTCCCATCACTTATTTCCTTTGTGTGTCAGCTCAGCTTCTATTTTCATTTTCCTTTTTATTATTTTTAATTTTTAATTACGACTTCTTCTTTTTTTTTTTCTTTTGGGGTTTGTTTGTTTTGTTCGCACAAATACAAATAAATACAATCCATCAATCTGCTAATGCTGATGCCATTGCTACTACTGATACTGATACTGCGCCCTCTGTTATCCAATTCCAAACTACACGCATAATCCTATACCCCTTTACCTCACGCGCTCCTCCATTCTCCAACTATTCTATTTTTTATCTACAAATCTTAGTTTATGTTTACTATGCTTATTCCATTCCAAAATATGATTTTTTTTATTTTGATAATGTTAAATTCTAAGTCTCCAAACATTAAAAACCGTCTAATACCGAATTTTAGTGCTGTATTTAAAATTGTTCGATTGTGTTATGCAATAGTTTTTCGAACCTTGAATTTTGTAGTTAATATATTCTTCATCTTTAGACATTTTTTTAAGTTAGCGATTTATTAGAGGTAAAATCGAAAGTTCATGAATTTATTTAACATTTTATAAATGTTATAAATTTAATACACACAAAATCGTAGACATATTAGATATTCTTTTTAATTTATGTATCTACTAAACATCACGATCTTCGAAATATTAAGGATGAACGATGTAACAGAGGTTTCAATAACTACTTTTTTAACTTTTTATTTTATAAATTTTGAACTTGTAAGATTTATATTTTATTATTCAAATTGAATGTAAATTCATGAGTTGTCCTCTAAATCTTCACTTTAACCCATTGATAAATAGCCATAACTTTAAAATTAAGTTATAATTTAATAAATGAACTTTCAATACTTATTTTATTTTAGTTATCAAACTTGAAATTTTCAATCATATCCCTTCAACTTTAGTGTATTATGTTAGTTTAGTTCCTAAACATTATATAAAAAATAAAAAATCTATAACATATTTTCATCTACACGTCTACGTCTTACATAAATGGACATAAGACATACAGTAATGAATAAAACGATTTAGGGACTAAAACATGATGATTAAATCTTTGTAAATAAAAGATTTAAAAATGAAAAAGTTGAAGTACCAAAATTAGAATATAAACATTTTCTTAATCCAATTATAATAGTTTAATACCACATTGGGTTAGTATTAATATATAACCTGGTAGCAACACTGTAGTGGTTGTACCTTTCCATTAATCAATCTTCATCTTAATCCAGACTACCTAACTATTTTATTTAACACTAAACTTTTCTTAATTAATATTCTAATCTCTTAATTAATTAAGCTTACAACAAAGGCAACCAGATTAGGGCATTACACGTGGCGGTATCCGTCCTTCTGGACAGCCCAACGCACACATGGCGTTATGGAGATAGCCTCTTCTGCAAAAGTATTTTTTAGGAAAATAAAAAATTTCTTCCTTTTCAGCTTCTATTTGCTCTAATTTGTCTATCTCTATGAACTAAAAAAAAAATAATAATAATTGTCTATTTCTATTGGTTATATTTAATAAAGCAGTGAATTTAATTATTGTTTGGTTTAAAATGTTATTTTTTGTTTCTAAAATTTGTACGGCTTTTATCTTTCTGATAATTTTATTTTTAAATATAAAAATGGGATATATTGAAGCCAAATTCTAACTATGTTCAAAGTAGGGACGAATTTACCGAGCTAAGTATAGAATCTATACAAAGAAGAGAAAAAAACTCTAACGTTCAAGTTAGTTATAGTTCGAAGTTTTTGCTTGAGGATGGTGAATCATAATTGGGTGCGTGCGTACCGTTTCAAATCTCTGTATAGGTTAGTGGACCCCACTTTCCTATCGCTTTCGTACGATTATATGATTTGTGGCACAATACTCGATAGTTCCGAGTTAATGGACTTCTTATTGTTTGGCTTGGCCATCGATGTGGTCCGAACTTACATTGAAGATCTTAGGCATTATACTTGAAATGTCAAGGTCGGAGAATAAACATACCTCCGTGTGCTTGACCAATATCTTTCTGTCCCGTGGTGTGGTGGGTTGTTTATTACTATATTTCATTTCAATATTATTACTATAAATTAAATTATATTTGGATCAGCACACTTCATTTAAAATAGCTGTAAAATTTTCTTAAAATTGTTTTATGACAATTAACATTTGTGCGGACATTCAATTTTTTAAAAACAATAGTTAATGCCAAGTTTATAAACATATTATACCTCTGAGAAGGAAATTAATCCTAATCTACCGTGGACTTATTATTGATTAATATATACAATTATTAATTAACTAAATAAATTCTATTGCAATTTGAGAATGTTAAATTTAGCTAAATATAGTTTATTTATGGAGATACTTTTATGGCCAAACTACCCCCATCTACTTAGGTATAACTTTTAATGTCAGAAGTCTACCAAAATAGTTGGACACATTCATAACCATTCCAAATTAAATTATATGAAATGTGTATCAATTTTGGTAATTAAATTTTATGAAAATTCATTTAGTGTATAATTTGATAGTTACCATAAGATGAATGCATTGCAAAAAAAGAAAAATGAAGAAAATACATATATCACCTCATTCAGAAAAAGAATAAAAAATTAATTGGTATTAAATTAAAGAAGGGCAACAAATCCAAAATTAATGATTTTAATAAATGGTCCATTTGACTTTGAAAAGAGGAATGAAGATCTCAATCTTCAGCCTTACCAAATGCTTCAAAAGTGAGCTGCTTATTTATTGTATATAATCTTTAACTAACACTTTGGCCCAAAAAAAAAAATATATATATATATATATATATATATATATATATAACCTTTAACTAACATTCTCTTCCTCCAAGTGACTTAGTGCACAATGCATATTTTCAATATACTAATGATTTTTAACAAGTGTAATACAAGCCATCTGAATTTTGTATTATATTTGGGAAATCTAAGTCCTACATTTATATATTTAATTTGACCATTTCATTAGTAGTTATAACTTATAAATCAAATGTTTTATTGGAATTCTGATAGATATAACTCTGTAGAGATTTGCAAAAATCACCGATGAATTAAGGGAGTTGTTACAATCACACTCTCCAACTTCTAATTTAATCAATCACCTCTAAAATTACTTATGAAGTGTTGCAGTTAAACCATTAATATTACAAAAGGTACAAATGACCTATGAAATAAAAAAATATTATTACAATCAAACCAATAAACTATAAGTTGATTGAAATCAAATTCGATTTCTTTATATGAATATTTTGTTTTCCTAAATTGAGAGATAGACTTCGTATGGATTAAAAGAACCAAAATTTTTTCATGGTTAATTAATATAATAGTTTTCAAAATTTATAGAATTGAAAGAAAAATTAGGTTGAGTTGTAACAATTCTATAAATCGAAGGTTTATTTGTAATAATCAAGTTTAAGAGTGGTTTGTGCATTCCCTAATATTTAGGGCTTAGCTACAACAAATTTGGGGAATTGATCTTAGGATGTAATTGTAACCATCCATATCATTTAGGGGTGGTTTTTATAATTTATTTATTTGTTTTTTTAGCACCATGGTTGGTTTGAAGTTTATTTCTGACTAATTTGTTGCAGTTACCATATAAGAATATAGGATAATGATTTTAATGTATTCTAAAACACTTTATTCTACTAACGCATTTTTTTATATCATATTGAGTTGGTTAATATTTTAAGTCCAACTTTCATAAAACTAATAATTTGTTGGTATATTCCTATTTATAAATTTAAATTAACGATAAAATTCGGAATTGGATGCTATTCGTATATTATCTAAGACAATAGAGCCTAAGAAAAGTTATAATATTTAATTCAGCTATATTTCGAAAGGCAATATTATTATTTTTATGCAAACATATTAAACTGATGGTAATTATGTGATTTTTCCAAACCCGTGGCATTTAAGGATTGACAAGGTTAATGTGAACTTTATTGGAAGTTTGTTACAAATTTCAACACGTTTCTGGGATAATTTTATTATTTTAACATTTTGGGCCAATATTTGTTTTTAAAAGGGTTAACATATTTAGCAAATTATTTTAGTTCTCTGTATGGTTTAATGACCTTTATCTCGAATGCTATTATTGGATTATTAAACTATTATACTTAAATAGAATTAATAATAAAGATTTTATTTTGTCATTAATTATATGTTAATATTGTGCACAAAAGCTTTTTTCTTTTTTTTTGGCTGACAATCAATATTAGTTAAATTTAACTTATTAGCTATCTCGTGTTAAGAACTGAATCCAGCTTTAGTATTTAATCTTAATAAACTAAATATCTAATTCTCATCCTTATAACCTAATTTTTCCAATTTTTTTAGTTCGACCTAATTTCTAAGTTGCATAATACAACACCTAATAGCTATTCATATGGCATATGCTGGATACTATATTTGAAATCCAGGACAATAATATACTTATAAGCTCGCGAAGCATAAAATTACATAGATCGAAAGTGTGTTTAATTT